TCAGTGTGAGGTACATGTGCACTTTCTCAGTGGCTCTGACACAAACAGTCCAAGAAAGACAACTAAAATGAAATGGCAGTAGATGATACAAGGCATTGGGTGTTGAGATTGATTCAAGCCAGTGACGTGCAGGGTCAGGTGTGTGGGGTCAAGTATGACACTGGCATCCATATTATGGACGGCATTCAATCAGTATGAATGAACTTTGTGATTTGTGATCGGGAATCCGCAAACTGACCCCCGTTCCCCTACGCACCTTGACCATTGGGGAAAATCCCCCCATATGGATGAATACCTATAAATTCGTCAGAACAAATTTCAGACAAGGTCATCATTTGGATGGGGACTGACGACCATCAGATTCCATGTCACCCTTATCTTCTTGAACATCTTCACAAATGTTCCCCCAAGAGACCTTTCCCATTATTTACCTCACCAGTTGTGAAAGTCCGTGTTCGAATGGCATTAGAAGCCCGTGCAGTTAGATAACTGCCCCCTGTGGGGAATCTGCATTATTCAGGATTAAAGTGCCTCCCTTGGTGCACTGCGATGTGGTGTTCCTTCTTAACACCCCCCCCACCCCGACCCCTCCCCAACCATTTTTGACACAATGAGGACCCTGAATGACACACCTGTCTCCCAGCATTTCCTTGGCAGTAATAAGTGTGCAGTAATTGCTGGGAATTAGGGAGGATTTTGAACACTACTTCTCGACCTCCTGAGTGACACAAACCTTCGAAGGATCCATTTCATTGCTCCCTAAATGCATTTTTAATGTGGAATAAAACACGTTTGGCCCTAGTCATTGTAGTATTAACTTTTATAGTTTTGGCAGAGTTGCATATATGCTTGCTGTAGTTTATGAGGTGCTATTAGAAAAGTTCCGGGATTTGTGTCAAGATATACAATATATTTCAAACCCAAAATACAACTTTTCCCCTTCTATGTGCACGTAAGATGTCTTCAAAGACAAAATTTTGGCGTTTGCTTTGTTCAATGCGTGAGGCGTGTTATGAGTTGTGGCAGGACAGCACATGGTTATTCACAATATCTCGAGCATCTGACAATTCCTGGCCAAGAAGAACATCGCTGTGATGGAGCAACCTACCTCCTTACCCAACCAGGTTCGCTTTTTTTTTTTTTTGCTCATTTCAAAGGGGGTCAAGGGGGTCATCAAGGAAGCCCGTTTTGAAGCTATGGATGACATTAAGATGGACGTGATGACAGAGCTGCGGAGGATGCCAGATGAATCCATCAAGGAGTGTGTGAAGGTGTGGCAGAGAAGGCTGGGAAACTATGTTAGACTCCAGGATGATCACTCTGAAGGGGAAAACTAGTAGCTTGTAGCTTGGATTTGAATTTAAAACACGCTCGTAACTCAAAGCTCTTGTTTCTCAAAATGAATGGAAATTAATTCATTTCAAAAAACATGCTTTAATCTGCTGTTTTAAGTATTAATTTTCAGGCAAGATTTGATTGATTTGAATGATTTAAACTGTTTTTGTCACATAATACCACCGTGGACATTATGCTGTGTCTTCTGGTGCATGCGACTTTGTGTACAAATAAGCAAAGCGATGTTGACGTAAATGCACAATGTGAAAAAAAGTATCCAAACAACGGCTCCTATCTTAGAAAATTCACCAGTAGGGTCACTCGTATCTCAAAGCAGCACTGTTTTTCTCTTGTGACACCAACCCTGAAAGTTTTCTACCACATCTCGTGTACAGGGTTGTGTTATGCAGCAGATAGTACAAACTAGTAGTCAAAGAGTTACGATCACCTCATCAGCATCATACAAAAGTGGTATAGAAATCATGACCAAAATCAAAACATTGGATTTGCAAGATGCATTACTCAATTTTCATCTGCCTTTTGGACCAGGGAATTCCTCCATCTTTCAAGGACTTGTGATTTATCTGTTGAGAGGCGTGTACAATAAATGTTTGCCATCCTTTCTTCCCTTCCTCAGCTTCTTCTAGTGCCATCTCAAACTCTCTCACTCTTATTTCCTGACAGCTTACCTTGCTGAGCCATAATCTTCCCCTTCCAGTGAGCAAGGAACAAGTCCCCTTCTGTTATAATTTGGAAACTGCCAGTTTCACGTGTTAAAAAAAGGCAGCAGTGAATTTAATTAGAAAGCTGTTGCATATCTCTGTGATACATTTCTTTTAATTAACCCCATGTGAATAAATTAAAAATAATAGGGGGCTGAAAAGTGTGGGGGGAAAAAAAAAAACACCACCCTAATGAAGTTTTTCCGTTAATTGGGACGGAGTTTGCAGCCAAACCACAATGTGTCGTGAACACCAGGAGCTAACAATGCCGCCTGTAAGCCTTAGAAAAAAGGGCCCAGGGCCTTCGTGCTGACTTCAAGTGTAAGAAATGCACCTCTGACGTGATGGAAATGACCGTGGGCCGAGAGAAAAGGCAGTCCTGTTCCAGGCTGCTCTGCTGAGACTCCCCATGCCGCGCTTGAAGCCGGGCCAGTGTTATTGCAGCCCTAATGCGGCTGACTCATTTGGAGCGGATCAGGAGTAATTATGGTAGGAAAAGTGGCTGCAGACAGTGGGGGTCAGGACACTTGTAACATGTGAAAAGAGCAATTATTCCAGGAGACAAAACCTTCCCTTATCCCAGGCAGCGCCAGGGTCAATGCGAGGGACGGCTGGGCTCCGTTTCACCGGGGCTTATTAGCCACGGCAAGCTGCAAAGTTTGAGAGAGTGCATCTTGTTAATGAACAGTCCCCTCCTCATCCACACAAGCCCTGTCTGCTCGCTCCCACTTACTGTGGGTGTTAATTATGTTGTAATCATAGCATGCATACAGTCCCAGAAATCACCTCACAGACCCCGGCATTCATACGGCACCATCTGGAAATGTAGCTGCGCCGTACAGTAACATAGAGGGCTCTCACAGGGTTGCGTTTGAGAAAAAAAAAAAAAAGGATGAAATGTAATATTGACTTGGGCTCGGTGAGAAACGGCCTAATTTAATGGTGTGTGTCAGTGTGATTGCCTCCGTGTGTTCACGCATTTCTGTTCTTTGACTCGGAGCTCACACACGCCCCAACCAAGGATGGGAACATGAATCACGCAGTGAATCAGTACTCTTTATTTGACTTATCATTGCAAACGCACTCATCAGGCTGCTTTCAACCGCCATGTGTTTTGCAGCAGATATTATTAACAGATGTCTCGTGTTTTTGTCTTGGCAGTAGAGAAACGTGTCCATGGGCTCAATTACAGCAATGACAGAAGCCCAATGAAAGGGGCTGATTCATGCGCACAATGGCAAGACATCTGCATGAGCAACCCATTAACGCTGGGAGCAGACACTCAGGTCCGCGGATTGTGTCCTCCCGTAGATGTACCTCTGGCAGCGGGGACAAAAACTTAAAAGGATCAAATTAGCCTGTGTTCCTTCTGGAGTGGCAGTCGCAATATTGGCACTATGATTTTGAAATGCGTTTAACATATAAAATGGCTTGTGGGGTGGTGGTTGACTAATCAATGCAGGGCTGACGTCTATTTTACAAATACGTTGAGGTCGGACATGTGAAAGATAATGATGACAAATGCACTTTGTTTCGGCTGTATGCACCCATTTTGTAACGTGCGGCGTGTAATTTGCGAAGCATCTCCATGGCGTGTGGCTCATATTTGCCGCAGCTGCGGCGAGGAATTATTGGGGGCCCCTGGGAGAAAGCCCACCCGGGGCCAGCTTCCACATCCTTGAAAGACCACCGCCCTCTCCCCATGTGTCAGGAAGGCTGAGCGAGTTTCATCAAGATCCTTTAACTCCCCGCGAAGTGACAGAGGGTGCATCGCGTCGTGGCTTTTACGTGATCAAAAATGGCCTTTAACAAACACGCACAATCGGAGGCAACTGTCCCCTCCGCTATTACGGTTGAGTGACGTAAAGAACAGATGTTCCACTGCGATCGAGTGTGGGAGGATATTGAGAGTGTGCATGCATTTCCTTTCAATTGTACCCGGTGCACAATGAGGCGTGCTAAAAAGAGAGCTGCAAATGATTGATTCGTTCATCAAATGAAGCTAATTAACCGTAAATTATTCAGCAATTACGGTGCCATTTCACTTATCAGTCCGGTCATCATTAAGATGCTAACTATTTGCATATTTCAGCATATTAAGTGTTGCTTTGTCTCTTATTGGTTTGGCTAGGTTACAAAAGTAATGCAAATTCAACAAATAAATAAGGGACCCCAAATGGATCAACGCAGTGTCCAAAATAAGAGATACCAATTATTTCTAAATGCTAACAGGACCTCAGAAATGTATTTCATCAATAGTTGTTGAAAGGGTTAATGCAAGTCTTGTCATGTATTTGTGATCATTTTACTTCTCCATTTTCGAGCTTTTCCATTGAGTGCTCCGTGGAATGCATTTTCTTTTAAATCCTACTAATAGCGTTTCAATTCCTTCTGAGGACGGATAAGTTGTGTCGCCCTGCTTGGCCGTGCAAAATGTATCTTGTTTGAAAATAAAAAGAGATGTGGTGATGCACACGAGGTGTCAAAAAAGTTCCAGGACTTGTATCTCTCTTACACACACACAAACAATAAAATCCAAACTACATGTTCAATGTGGGCCAGCATGTCTAAAGAAAATGCACCTGCTCACACTGCTTTGAGCAATCTTCTTAAGTTTCCCAACCTGGCTGTGTGATTATTTTCCCTCTTTCCCAATGTCAAGAGGGTCATCAAAATGATCCGATTTGAAAACATGGATGACATGATGACGGGGATGCAGAGGATCCTGGATGAATCCCTCGAGGAGTACATAAAGGCAATGGCAGAGAGATTGTGTTTGACTCCCGGGGTAAATTTGGAGGTAGTAGAAGATGGGGTTTGTAGAAGTCCTGGAACCTTTCTGACACACCTCGTACCTATTGTGACTTCAGTTAAATAAAAGGTCATTTTATTTCTCTCCATCTGTGATCTAGTTGCCTGACTATCGCGTTGTTTTTCACCCAGGGATGGTGCCAATGGGAAGGTTGTGTTCTACCCAAATTGACACCCCAAGTGTGTTGAGCGGTAAGAAAATGTCTCTCGGCTTGTAAAACAACAACAAAAAAAACTTCTCTATGATAGATTAATTGTTTGTCAGTACTATTTGTTTAATGAGTTAGTGAGCGACTCGCTTAACTCATGAGAGTATTGTCAGTGAAATGTGACTCCTTTTCCTCATAGGGTTGATTTTTTTTTTTTTCTTTGTGGGTTCCTCACAAAAAGTCACGATTGTATTACAAAGCACATCTTCAGGCATTTAGTGCACCAAGCATAGTTTGAACATTTTACAGTGGACTCCCACATATTCGCAGTTTATCATCCACAAATTCACCTATTTGCAGATGTTTCTGTTTAGTTGTATCCTCCATTATTTGTGTATGGGGACGTTACTTATTTGCCATTTTCTGTTACGTGGCCCAAAAAAGTAAGAAAATGATGTCCACAGTACAACAGGACTCTTCAACCATTTTGAAGCTGAGAGCTACTTCTTGGCTCATGACTAATGCGAAGGGGTAGCAGTTTGATACACGCTTCTGAAATTAAAAAGGTGCTCACATGTTAATATTATGTTATTATAAATAATTCTTATTCATTTCTGTGAAGATGCTAATCACGTTAATCACTTGAAAAATAAATACCAATATGCAACTCTTTATAGCAATAACTCGCCACCAGTGTTTAAATTTTCAAATGATTACTGATGCAACATTCCTCGTAGATCACAATGTCCCATCAGTGGTGAGCTATTCTGGCAACAGGCCCGTGAGCTGTTTATGTGGTCGTTGGGGGCTACCTGGTGCCCACAGGCACCACGTCGGTGACCCCTGCTCTCAGTATGTATGATATTTATTGCATTGTACCGTCTCTTTGATTGAGACAATAAACAGTTACTGTTGACCGTATACATGTCCAAAAAAACAAAAACAAATTGCCCTTTCAACAAAACCTCTGCGGCGGAGGGCAGACCTCCTGCGCTCATCCAATCAGAAATCTAACAGCAGCAGTGTTAGTTTTGGGAATGACGCTCAGTGGGAATGGATCGATAAGATGGCAGCGCCCATATTTGCTGCTTTGTCTTATGATAGTTTGGCCAAACTAGGACTGACCATAGGATCAAAACCAGTGAAATCCAGCTCAGCCAAACATCGCCAAACCTGTCTGACTGCCAGATCGTGTTGTCACTGTTTACTCAGCAGTTTCAGGTCAGTTAACAACCAAGTGCTAGGTATTGTAGATTCAAGCATCCTACCAAGATGTTTCTATCAGGAGATGCCACTCCACAGTACCCACCGTTGATATTACACATTTTGCTGTGCAGTCAAATGTTCATTGTTTCATACTTGCCCTGCTACACTGATTCTTAATCATCATCATCATGATCCACTAGGGTGGCTTTCTTGAGCGTGTGAACGACAATTTCACTGCTTTCAGTTTCTTTTTAAATGTATTCGTTTTTTTAGTTCCCTCATTGTTTGAAACGATATTTTGCTCCACGATTATCCAATTACACATTACGAGGTTCAGACCAGTTTTTCTTTATAGTCCCCCCTTTGTTATGAATGAAACAGGCAAGAAAGCTTTCAAGTCGTTGCCCAACTGGAATACTCTACCTGCTGATATTCGTTTACTGTCTTCAGTCCGCATCTTTAAAAATACCTTTTTGTAATTATTCAAAACCTAATTGCCAGTGTTTTCAACGATAACTTTAAATTGAATGCAGTGTGACATTATCTTCATCTTATATCACCTGTATTATGAAACAATAGAATTATTTCTTTACGCTTTGTGTTGAGACCATGGTCGTTAATGGTACTCTCTAAAAGGTTCTTATTGTTTTTCCCCCTGTATATATATATATATATATATATATATATATATATATATATATATATATATAATTTATGTATTTATTTTTCTCTCTGGTGTTGGGGTTTAACCCACGTTTATAAAGAGGTACTGTACATGATGCATCTGCATTATCAGCTGTAAACTGTCCACTGCATTTTTTTAAGGGTACAGCAATGTTTGAAGATGATTGTAAGCGTTTCAAATGCTCCAGTTCATGAATTAGTTTTCATAATAGTTCGTCCCCATATCATCAAATTTAAGCGAGCGTCAAATTCTCTGGCCGTGGTCGGACTTGGTCCCTATCACGAGCAAAGAGCCAAGGTCCACTCTACTGTATGTACATCGTCTGATTTCCCACTAAATTCTTGAAAGTCAGTTGAGACACCTCCCAAACAACTGGGGGTATTTGCAGGACAAAATGAGTGTGCGACTGACTGCAAAGACTAAAGTCAGTGTTAGTGTTTTACATTGATGAGTTGAGCGGGGCTTTAAAGCGAGCAGGCATCCAGCGGAGGCAGAATCCAGTCATTCCAAGATAGGTTAATCTTTGGAAGCGTTGGCCTTTTCAAGCAGGATGTAAAACACACACGTGATATGTATATGGAAAATGTGGTAGTCTCAACCAATTAGGAGTAGTTCTCCAAAGGTGGAGGAACGACCTTTTTGTATAATTAGTTATCTTATTTAAAGCAAAGATTTTGAATGGAATTCCTAATTAGTTGTCATGAAAGGCAAATTAAAAGAGTTTGGTGATCCTCAAGGGACTTAAATGTTTTCTTTTTGAAAAGACTTTAAAGCACATGCGCGCGCACACACACACACACACACACACACACACACACGCACACACACGCACACACACACACACACACAAAGTCATTCTCTCTCTCCTCATTATGACTGCTCTGTAGTTCTGTGGAAGCCTGTCAGAGGAGGATGGTTGGCATACCTGCAGAGAGCTCCCCTAACAAGCCATGAAATGCAAGTAGAAGAGGCTGCCCTCAACCACCGCCGCTTGAATTTGAAGCTTTTTTACCTTCATTTGCAGCTAACATTGGTATTTATAGCAAGTTTTTGTGATCATACTGCAGCAACTTCAAGGGGCCTGTTTAGAGGAGGGTGGGATGCAGGAAAGGCCAAACTCTAATTGATGGATTCCACTGCAGAACTAGACCAATTAGCCTCTACTCTTCAACATCTAATAAATAAATGAGACGTCTTCACACCAGACAACATGCTTATATATAAAAAGCCTGGTGACTAATAAGATTATTTATTTCACCTCTGATACAGACAAATGCAAATAATAGAGAGTTCTTTGACTATTTTAAATGGCTGATTTAAATGCGCAACATTTTTAAAAAGAATCATTTTTCAATCCCTCAGGTCTCTTGCTCTTGATTTCATATCTTGGAGGTTATGTAGTTGCCACCTCTTGGAGTATTAGTGCAAAATCACTAACTACTTTTCAACGACCAGCAGAAAGAAAATCTAGACCAATTAATTTGGTGCCCAGAATAGCCGCTGTAGAAGTACAAACGAATGGTCAACAGGGATTGAGCAAAATTGGTAAAAGCAATTTCTGAAAAAAACAAAAAAAACAAAAAAAAAAACGAATGATATTTGAAATTGTGCATATTCAATGAAACAAACCAATAAGCGAATGGATTCAGGTTCCCCAGACTGGCGAAGTTAGTGTATTGCTAGACATGCATCCACTCAATTTTTACATGCCAACGAGTTCATTTTCGTGAACACAAATGTAGAGGCTACAGCTTGTTTTCGTTGGCTTGAGTTTGATACTGTGAAGTGCTTTAGCTTGGAGCCTCAGAATAATTTGCCTTTCTGTACGCAGTTTTGCACTGCTGTGAACAGCATTTCTTTTGTTGAACAAATGTCAATGTAATACCTCTTCAAAAACTACAAGCTATTTGGAACAAAAAATTTGTTGTGGAAGATCACAGTTATTGACAATTTTGCTCCTCCAATTAAAATGAACAAATTGATCGTCACACTTCAATTGTCCAAGGAATTTTTTTCAAGTGTCACATCATTTCCGTTTATGCTCTTTGTGTTTTTAAGGAAGACATAGCGTTAACACACGCGTGAGCACACACACACACACACACACACACACACACACACACACACACACACACACACAAAATAGTTCTTTGAAGGGCAAACATGACAAGCAGAGAGAAACAGTGCGCAAAGTGAAGCTGCGTTTACAATTGGGCATCAAGCACAAACAGCACGTGAACAAAATCAAACACACCAGCCGCGTGGTAGACAAACACTAGACATTTGCTCCCCTTCACTTATCTCTGAAGCATAAAAACAGAGACACACACAGAACTCGATTTCACTCATCTCGGCCTTTATAGGTGGGTTGCCCCACATGCCAAATTCTGGCAGCACCCCCCTGTTCACCCACCATACCCCCCTTCCTCTGGGTGTTCAATTTATTTATTTTTTTGGGGGGGGGGTGTTTTGAAAGAGAGTGGCAAGTGGCGTCCACTGTGTGTTCTTTTAGATGGATCAATAGCTCAGTGTGTGAGAGAGTGTCTTAAGAGCTGTTGTGTGGTGCTCTCAGCTGTGGCAGACCTGTTAGTGCTGCAGAGGAGTGCTGCGCGCCCCTGCCTCGGTACCAGCAGTGGCCTGAGGGGGGCTTTTAGTACGAACACAAATGTCAGCCACACATAGACTATTAGTGTTTAGTGCAGTTATTAAATGGACTTTATTTGTCCTTTAGGAGGCTAAAAGGCTCACTTAAAGGGGGCCTGCGTGACACCGGGACAATTTGCGAGTTGGGTAACTTTGGGCTCGCTCATTGCAGACACATGAGCACGGATAAGTGTAAAGGCTGTAGGAGCCGTGTGTGTGTGTGTGTGTGTGTGTGTGTGTGTGTGTGTGTGTGTGTGAAGAAGAGTGAGTGTATGCTAAAAGGCACTTAGGCCATAACATATCTCACTGGGGTCTGGTAGCAGCGTGTTTTGCGGTCAGAGGCTTTTTAAAAGGTTAATGTTAATCTATACCAAACAAAGCCCATGAGGAGCTTTTACAGCTCTGGACAGTTGAGTGAAACGGGCTTGATGAAATGGTAACTAATGCACTACACGGCCCGCTGTAAGTACCACAATAAGCAAAATAGATCCCGGATTTGATGTATTATGTATTGTGCAAACTCGGTACTGCAAGTGATCATGTACCGTGAGTGTTACAGCGTGTTCTTGGTGGAACGAGCAAGTGAAGGGTTGGTAGTCCAATGTGACCCGCGTGTTTATCTACTGTACACGGAAGAGTGTTTTCTTTAATGCATATGAAGCAGGTCGGCGCTGTGCCGCCGTTGCACGTGAGGCCATGCTTAGACGCCCGCGGAATCAGCCCGCTTATCAAAAAGAGAACATGAAAAGTCACTCGGGTTCCCGCGACCGTAAATCACGCCTCGCTATTTGTCTCCTTATCACTCCAGGTGTGCCGATGCTCTCCGTCCAGCCCAAAGGGAAACAGAAGGGGTGCGCTGGCTGCAATCGCAAGATTAAAGACCGCTACCTACTCAAAGCCCTGGACAAATACTGGCATGAGGACTGTCTCAAATGTGCCTGCTGCGACTGCCGCCTTGGGGAGGTGGGCTCCACCCTTTATACGAAAGCCAACCTCATCCTGTGTCGTCGGGACTACCTGAGGCAAGAAAGACACACAATCACTTCACCGCAGTCGCCGCAAACACAAAGGACCGCATTACAACGCAGTACACGTTATGTGAGAGGATCACCAAAGTTTTATTTGCCGCTAAGTGGAGTGTAGCAGGTGCATATTTTACCAGAGGCTCCATTCATGGGAACTTCTGAAGATTTTTATTTTTTTTTTTGATATCGTGGAATCCATGCAGGCAAAAGCCACACTCAGCAGAGTAGTAGACGGCTTTTTAATACTTTAAGCTACATCTGAACCTCTTTGACAATGGCATTCCATCTCCCGTGAAACACATTACCTTTGTGGAAAAGCAATGACAACAAGAACTTCAAAAACAATTTCTCAAACAATAGGATGTTTTTTCAAATTCTGACATTTGTCTTGGCTTTTTCTAAAGCAATCACTCCAAAAAGATCAAGGTCAAAGCGAAACAAAAATCCCAACAAATTAGTTCCACTTCACAATGCCATATCCTGCCGTGGCTTTCTAGGGTGTTAGTATTCAACACCTTTTTCTTGAGATATCACCAACTTGTGGCCTGGCATGCACATTACACTGTTTTCATTTCTCCGTTATTGATTTGACCACTAGCCCCGTGTACATGAAATTTTCAAAGCCCAAAAAAAGAAGATGTGTAATAACCATGGACAATTGTCCATTAATGCTCTCTTGTGCCCTCTACAGTTGCAGTATGTGTAATGTGCGCATGAGCTCCAGTGATAAATATAATTAAAGAAAGAAGCCAAGCAAAGAAATGAAGTAGACAAACACCAGTGTAGCTTTATCAACAAAATGTGTTATTTTATTTCGCATACCGCAAAGGTTTTGCAAGAACACGACTCTCAACAGTAAATCCGTCCATACGCTGAGCAATGTGGCCAGTCGCGACCAAAAGCACAGTGAGCAACTTGTTTTGTTGCAATTAGATATTTGACTGGTAGATGAATACACTGGAGTGTATATCGGCCAAATTAACGCCATCTCGTATCAAATGAGTTTACACAGCAAAAACATGTTTCCTGGTGTATAGTATGCATCATGTTTCACAAAAAGATTTAGTGTATAGAAAATGTTATATTTAACTATGGCTAAAAAGCAAATCGTGAAGAGTCTCTGCCACCGAAAGGTTCATCTAACTTGCATCAGTGTTAGTGCTACAGAAAATACAACATAACGTGTCTATTCCACCAATAGAATACCAAAGCAATATGGGGTCACCATGGCGTGTGTGTGTGTGTGCGTGCACTGTAGAAAAATCACAATGTTTTCAAGAAAGCTGTTAGTAGCTGTCAGTAAGATTCATATACTTTGCCCTTGTAAGCAAAAGACCTGCCATTTAGAAGGCTTTCAGTAGCTGACATGATTGCAGCAAACAGATGACTACTCAAATCAATGTTAGCTGTCTTGGTATTCATTTTCCCGGGTTCTTTTGTTTCTTGTTTTGTTTTCTGTTTACATGAACTAGTGCGCAACGAATGTCATGTCAAGTGAGCTGAACGAAACCTCAAGGTGGCCTTGTTGCTTCACCAGGGTCTTTGTCTCCCCCGACACACACACACACACACACACACACGGTCTTCAGATGCCCCTACCATCTGCTAGTTAAATTAAACATGACCATTTCCTGAGCGTTAAGTCACATTCCCAATGAGATCGGACCACTTATCCGTGAGGGAATCCCCCAGAGGCTGACTTAGAGATGCCGCTGCCCTTGCTACCCGCCCCCTCCTTCTTAAAACCCCCTCCCCTGCAAAGTCCTCCCCCATTCACCAATTCCCCTTCCGCCCACGTCTGTCCAATCCCTCATTGATACGCTCAGCCTTCTTCCTACAGGTTTTAATTGGTTCATTATTCTGATTTAGAGCAACATGCTCCAACTGCGCTCATCATTTCAAATCACCACAAATATTCTAGTTTAGAATACCTTCATCAAGTCTTTCCTCCTACCTACAGATGGTAAAAGAAAGTCTACACACCATTGTTCAAATGGCCCATTTCTTTTTTTGTTTTTTATATATAGAGACACAGAGAGAGAGAGAAAGAGAGAGAAACCCCACACAGGCACAGGGAATACATGCAAACTCCAGACAGGAAGGTCAGAGCCTGGAATCTAACCTTAAACCTCTGTACTGTGAGGCAGGTGTGCAAACCCGTCAACCACTTTCCAACCTACTTTTTTGTGCCGCTAGTCATTTTCATGTGGATACATTTTCAAAGAACGACAAATAAAATATCACTCATCATGATACGCTTCAATGAGCCGGCCTATTCTGACAAGCGTTAAAACAGCAAAGACACAGGGGAGAGAGAGAAAAAAAATATAATTATCATTTAATAGTAGAGCAATCAACCCAAGGTAAATAATGTAAAAAAAACACACACACAAAAATCTCCCAAACACTTGGCAAAGGTTTTACTGATCAGTCGAAACAAAGGTTGAACTCTTTGGGTAGAATCTAAAAGGTATCTTTGGCACGAAACCATTCCTGCTAAATATCAGACCTTAAAGTGAATCATTGGAGTGGCAGCATCATGCTTTGGCATTGGACAAACAGTTCCAAATAGCAGTATTTAGCACAGATCCTTTAGGCTTCTTCTAGAAAACAATAACATGTCAGAAAAAGCCTACTAGAACAGCAAAGCTTTATTAGGGGTTAACGAGAGACACTTAACATGGTGGCAGTTGTGCGCGACTCCAAATTTAACACGAATTTGAATGTGATTTCTGAGCATAACCACACGCCAGGTATAAGAGGGTGTGCGTACTTGTATTACATAATTGTACTTTTATTTCCCTTCTTTAAAAAATTCAGCTGCGTTGTACAGGTTATAGGTCACATTAATAGTGGAAAAAAGTTTTTAAATGATTCATCTTGGACTTCTTTTTTGGAGAACATATTTGGACAGGGGTGCGTAGACTTTTTACATCCACTATGGCTCACTCAGAGACCCTCGTGACATTCTTCTTGCATCTCAGATTTTCCCCGGACCCACAAGGAGCCCACAGCCCACTCCAGAGGCGCTGAGTGATGTTACACGAAGATAGACCATTACCATCCATTAGATCCCACCCTTAGTTAATGGTTTAAAGAACCAGTGAGAGCTCCGTCCGCTAATACCCCCGTGTTGCCCCCAGAAGGGACGGACGGTGCATACGAAGTAATAATAAATGGGAATATGAACAAGTGAAGGCAAAAATCATGAAGCGCAGAGTTTCGCGTGTAAAAATATATCGGCTGAAAGGACACTGTGAGTGCCTTGCTGGCACATTGGAGGAAATATGAAACGCTTTTGCGCGCATTAACCCCGGGCGAGATGTTGAGGTCAGAGATGGGGTGTAAAAGGGAGACGGCTGAAGAAAATCAAGAATTCTTAACAGCAAATTATGGATTTTTGAAAATAAAGTGGGTTTCACGCTCCGCTTTTGGTCAGGAGTGCCTGCTCTTCAGAATGAAACAACAATGGCCAGAGCTGCTTGACTAATTGCTATTAAAAACCTCGCTTTGGGTGTCGTGCCGATTGTGTTGACGTCGACCATCTCCTTCCCCTCTTCCTCTTTGCTTCCTCTTCGGTGAACTAAGATGAAGGCATCCCTCACCTGCAGTAATGAAGCGAAATCCGTGCACTGAATTAGCCTTCTGTACTACATTAAAACAAGCGGGTGGATCAAACACACTTTGGTTATTTCCCAGGCTTTGGAACCCTGCCATGCTCCCATTAATTATTATAGGAGCTCCATCTGTGATTGTCCTTCAGTGGCATTAGCAGCTTATTGAATGCACTCACGCGTTCCCGAATCTTCAACACACACGTACACACATCTGTGCCACGGTCCCCCACTGCCCTCCAAATGATTGCACTACAGAAAGTTCACAAATACAATACCTTTTTTTTTTTTTTTTTTTTTTAGACCCCACCGTTATCACTAAAGGATAATAACATATTAATTAGGTGTTTCATTTATGTCAAGGGCTCTGTATCATTTGACTCCACCCGAGGCTTGACAATCTAGTTGTGATTTGATCATCTGCACCGAATTAATTTAATCTCCTGTTTCATATATAAGAGAGGCCCGAATAGTCATCCACTTATCAAACGGGCAGCATAATTAACTGAAAGAGGAAAATGTTTCCAAGATAATGAACAGTACAATTTATCCACAAACTGCTGATGGGGATGATAGCTCCAGCTGGGCGTGTCCATCTTTTCAAATCTGTCATGTCCTGATGGTAGACTTGAAGAAAGTACCTGAAAGCGATACGAAAGTACAGTACAGTGGTGCCTTGAGATATTAGTTTCATTTGTTTCGGGACCACGCTTGTAACTTATATCACTCCTTTCTCAGATCACCCTTTTCCATTAATCCAACTGACCCCATCCACCAAGACCCCCGCCCAATCAAAAAATGTTATAATGTGTATTTTCATGAAAAAAAAAACACTCAATAATATATTACTATGGTGTACAATGCATATATACCGGACCGAAAATAATAATTGAAGGCCATTCCAAATGCACTGAAGAGAGTAAAAAAAAAAAAATCTTTTGAACCTGAAGAATTCTTGAAAAAAAATGGGTGAACCACCATTTAGTGTTTTCCATGGAAAAATAGAGGTTGGTTCCTCCCCCCCAAAAACACACACAAAAACAAATGATTAATCCAAAACTCAAAAAAGGTCTTGGAAAAAAAACTGAATCGGTGAATCCACAGGTGCTGAAATCTAAGTTTGTGGGGGCCCACTGTAATGACGTAATTATTATTATTATTATTATTTTTTTTTTTTTGCATTCACTTGAATGGGCTTTGTGCTGCAGTGTGAAACAGACCGACAAATAGCAAACGTTAGCCTGGACATCACATTAACCGTAGCCGTCTAAAAATAGAATCGGTACGCACAGAAACATTTCACGTAATATGCAGTCCGGTCTTAAAAGAAGGCAATGTACGGAGCCATTGTGGGAGATGAAAGCTTTTGACATGAGCAAAGTA